TTTTTTTTGAGATTCAATCAATTTTTTTTGTCTTTAAAATATTCTATTGTTAATTACTGTAAATTATTGTACTTTGTAAGTAATTTTTAAATAATATATATTATTTCATTTGTTCAATTTATGTGTCACCGATAAAATTTGAAGAGTTAATCAGATCTTTTACATATTTTTATATCTTTTGAATATTTAAGTAAATAATTATTGTGATTTATAATTTTTTATACAATTATTTAAAAAAAATTAAACAATAAACAAAACGAATTCATCATATGAAAATTATTTTGTCTTTAAAATATTCTATTGTTAATTACTGTAAATTATTGTACTTTGTAAGTAATTTTTAAATAATATATATTATTTCATTTGTCCCAATTTATGTGTCACCGGTAAAATTTGAAGAGTCAAGCAGATCTTTTATATATTTTTTATATCTTTTAAATATTTAAGTAATTAGTTATCGTGATTCATAATATTTTATACAATTATTTAGTATAGTAAAATAAATTTAAAAGAAACAAACAAAACGAATTCATCATTGGAAATTACCAAAGCATCCTTCAATACATCAATAATGGGTCCGACTTTTTGTTTTTAAGAAATTGCACATTTGAAGGATATTTTTGTCCAAAGTGGAAATATTGTGTAAAAATGTGTATTTATTGTGATTTTGAATGTTTTGTGGGGTAATAGAATGCACGCAAAGTTAAGGTGTCTTTTTGAAAATCTGGGACAACTTCAAGTATCACTTAATGTTTTTCTCAAAATCTAATTTACTTTCGTAAACTATGTGTCAGATCAAAATCAGATTAACAAATTCAAAAGGAATGAGTAATAAATAGCTTATACAATGACATATTTATTATTTAACTAAATAATAAATATGTCACTAAAAATCTTATTAGCTTTTGATTGAAAGTTAACAAGATAGTTACAATGATAGTTGCATTGTGGCTTATTATATATAGAATATATATATATATATATATACTATTACACTTGATTGTTGGAAATTTCTTCTTCTTTTTTTTCAATTAAAATTATGTCAAAAAAATTAGGCTTAAGGTATCTGCTGCTCCTTAAAGTTGTCCGCATAATTCACTTATACACTTTAACTAGGGCTAATACCTATTGAACACTTTTATCTATTCAAATTTGTCCCTATTAGACATTTTTCGATAATAAGTTAAAAAAAACAAAGTGTATGTAATACACTTGTTGTGATGTGGCAAAATGACAAATTATAAGATAACATGTGGCGATGGGCCCAACAATTATAGAAAAAAAATTATGTTAAAAAGAATGAAAATCATTTCAAATAAATTTTCCATCTATTTTTATATAAAAATAAATAAATGAGAAGCCCAACCCTACCCTAGCCCCCTTCTTCATCTTCTTCCTAACAAGATTTTCTTTCTCAAACAATAAAATTCAATTTCTTTGCTAATTGCTTATATAATTTTTTTTTATTCCTAATACGTGAGAAAGAGATATTCAAAGAGACTGATACAAGAGTGATGAGGAAAGTGAGTATGTCAATCGTCTTGAAATCGATAGCAAAGAGAAATCGAGAGAACCTAAATTAATTTTATCGAATCAAGCTGATATTATTTTTGATAAGTTTAGTGGGTTTACATTTTAATTTGAATAGTAATATTTGTTCGAAGGTGACCGAAATGGATGTCAATCGGCTAACTTTTTTCAGCCTGATGTTCTTTCTTTTTTTCCTTTCCAAATTCAATTAGCTGATTCAATTTTTATTTTTTTAATAAATATTGAAAAGAAATAGAATAGAAAAAGAAAAGAAAAGAAAAAAAAACAATGAAGTGCACTGTCTTCGTGAAGAAGACGACTTAAAGGGGTGGGGTGGGGGCTTTTTTTTTGTTTTGATTTAAGAATTAGTATTACTTTTAAAATTATTTTTTAAGAAATTAAATTATTTAAATGCCAAGTGGCAGTCAAAGAAAAAAAGTAAAAAAAAAATATTTAAGATTGTTTCACGCGCTTAGCGGAAGTGAAGAACACTTCTTTTGCCACATCAACATTTTGTGTTTAATAGGTATGTTTTTTGAACAATTTAGGTGTTCAATAGATAATAGTCATAGTTAAGGTGTCTAAGTGAAATATGCAGACAACTCTAAGGGGTTGCAAATGACTTAAAGCCAAAAAATTATTATTGTTCATGATGGTATGGGTGATGGGGATAGTATGACCCTTAGGCCGTCCAATAGACTAAGACAAATATATGTTATGATACACATTGATGACTTTTTATTATCCCTTGTTTTTACTTACTTGTAACCATATGTAACATTCGAAATTCTGATTTTTAGTCCTGCACTCATTCTGTTAATTCCATTTTAGAAACATAATAGTATAGTATAATATAAGCTCCACAATTAAAGGTTAATTGTCAAGAAAAACAGGGTTCTGGCCAAGGTTCCAAGGTGTAAGAACACAATTCCATTTTTCAAGGAGGTGAATTACAAATCGATAATCAACCCACTGGGAGTAAACAATGTTTTCTCCATTTTTTTAATTTCTTTTTGACATGCAATTTGGATTATAACTCAACTTTGAGTTGTTAATTAGAAATCACTCAACTTTGTTTTATAACTCAAAAGTCACTCAATTATTGATGTTTCACTTGGAAAGTCACCAAACTATTGATATTTTACTTAAAAGTTACTCAATCAATTTAAATTATTTTTTAAAGAAATAATAAAATATCTATTTTAATTATCTTATTGATCCGCTCCAATTATTTTAATGTTAACTTGGTTGAGTACACATTAGCAGTGATGAATGAATTTTTAAATACTATATGGTGTAAGGCACGGAAAACTCTTCATAAGGGGCAGTAGACTGAGTTCAATAATATAATGGATATGGTATTCACCAACGAATGTTATTTAATGACAAGTATGGTTCTTCTTAATGATAATAAATTTGGTTGAGTGATTTTATTGAAACAAAGGCATAAGAGTGATTTTATGGATACAAAATAAAGTTGAATGACTTTACGAGATAAATTTTCCAAGTTGAGTGAGTGACTTTTGGAGATATCAACCGGACAGTGAGGAATGAATTTCCGTATACATAGTAGATGAAAATAATGTATTTGCAGCAACTATTTATCCTTGTTATGGATGAAGGTTGCTTCAAATTTATGATCTTAGCTAGTTTCTCATGTGTTTTGTGGAGTTCCTTGTTATGTGATCTGTTGAAAAAAAATAAGAGATCTACTATTTGAAATAAATGATAATTTCTTTCCTATGTTGCCGCTACAGAGACACGATACTAAACATCGTGATTTGGAATCTTATTGAAAGGTTTGTTTAAGCGTGTGATTGAATCATCAAATAGTAGACTTTGGATTAAATAACCTTATGTATTGAAGCATTAATCGATGGCATAACTAATATTATATTATTAATTGTACGATATAATATTAAACAAATGAAAGGGAAACACCTGATACGAAGAACTTATTAGTTGGTATCTACAGTCAATTGAAAGCACAGCATATATTTGTAGCTATTTTTTACAAATTTAAGCATGGCTGAATCCATGGAAGAGCAGTTGCTGGGAAATGAAGAGAATAGAAGATGGATAATTACAACGGAATGGGAAACTTATTGTCAAGAACTGAAGAAGTTGAGTTATATAGCAGCACCAATGGTGGCAGTTTCCGTATTGCAGTATCTATTGCAAGTTGTATCCATGATGATGGTTGGACATCTTGACCAGATTTCACTCTCAAGTGTTGCTATTGCTACTTCTATAACCAATGTTACCGGCTTCTCTCTTCTTGTAAGTCCTCTTTATCACTGTGATTGTTAAATCTAATTAGAGGTGGTAAATAGGCGAGTTGAGTCCAATTTAGTGGTTCAAAGCTAAAAAGATTCAGGATTTGAACTCTATGTGGGTTTAACTTGTACACATAAATCTCTACTCTGTGTCGAAAGTACTAGGTTCAGATGAGGCAGGAGCTATAAGGCTATATGTGCCTCTAGTTCAAATCGGGTTGAATTAATAAATGAATCATGATTGTTAATAGGACAATGAACATTTTTAGTAAATTCTTTATGTAAATGTGAAACAGTCAGGGCTGGTTGGTGGTTTGGAGACTCTGTCCGGGCAAGCATATGGCGCAAATCAATGGCAAAAAGTAGGTACTTATACTTACAGTGCAGTGATATCTCTGATTATTGTGTGCATCCCAATCAGTATCTTGTGGCTCTTCATGGACAAGCTGCTCATTTTAATGGGACAAGACCCTGTAATTTCAGTTGAAGCTTATAAGTTTTCTCTGTGGCTTACCCCTGCACTATTTGGAAGTGCAATTCTTAAGCCTCTATTCAGATATTTGCAGATTCAAAGTTTGATTCTTCCGATGCTCGTAACCGCCTTTCTGGTTCTATGTCTCCACATATCTCTGTCCTGGTTTTTCATATTTCAGTTGGGACTAGGAAAATCAGGTGCAGCTATAGCCTTTTGTTTTTCGATCTGGACTTTTGTAGCATTACTTGTGTTTTACATCAGTCGATCGAGTTCTTGTGAGAGGACTCGAACTTATCTGAATAAAGATGCCTTCCTTGCTGTCGGACAATTCTTTCGTTATGCAACTCCATCCGCTTTAATGGTTTGGTAAGAAGAACTTTTGTTGTTGTTAAGTAGTCTTATCACAATTTTTATTGATTTATCTTGATATGTTTTTGTGCAATGGAAATCATCATAGCCTTAAATGGTGGTCATTTGAGGTGCTCATTTTGCTATCTGGACTTTTACCAAATCCAAAACTTGAAACATCAGTACTATCAATATGGTATGTATGTATGCACCAGTTCATGATTAACTATTTTATGCTCAATTTGTGGTTTGTGTGTAGTACTGATCCTCATATTTTGTTTGATCAGCTTAACGATTTCTTCATTGCACTTTGTTATACCATTTGGATTGGGAGTTGGTGCAAGGTTAGTTCAATATTCATGCTTTTTCTTAAAAACTTTAAAAACATCACATAAATTATGCATCCTTGCTATGTCTTTAAGACTACAATTTCTGGCTCGAGTATAGCACGAGGGTGTCAAATGAATTGGGATCTGGTAATCCTCAGAAGGCTCTAGTGGCAGTTAGAGTTGCAATGTTTCTTGCAGTTGTAGAGACGGTCTTGGTGAGCACAGTAACATTCTTATGCCGCGGAGTTTTGGGTAAAGCCTATAGCAATGATGAACAAGTGGTGGATTATGTTGCTGCAATTGCCCCTTTTCTGTGTCTATCATTCATCACAGATAGCTTACAAGCAGTTATCTCTGGCAAGTCTTCTAACTAGCTATTATATCTTTCAATGATCCTTAAGTAGTTGTTTGGACAACTTTTATTTGAAATTGAAATGATGATGTAGTGTAAATTTTTGGCCTGTAAAGTGCAGGAATAGCTAGGGGAAGTGGATGGCAGATTATTGGTGCATATGTGAATCTTGGAGCATTCTATCTAGTTGGAATCCCAGTTGCTTCTCTACTGTGTTTCGTTGTAAATCTGAAAGCAAAGGGCCTTTGGATTGGACTATTGGTTGGTTCTGCAATTCAAGCAACTAGTCTTTCCCTCATACTAAGTTTCACTGATTGGCAAAAACAGGTTCACTTTTATTTGTTTCTCCTAATACTACTATTCATTTTTTGATCTTTTAACTCTACTCATGTATTGTTTCACTCATTGCATGTTGCAGGCAATAGAGGCTAAGAAGAGGGTATCAGAAAAGAGATAATCAGAAGAGAATAATTAGAGGGGACTAATTCAATGAAATAAGATGATATCGAGAGGCACGTTTGCTTATATTTAATGATAAGTTGGTTGAGTACACATTGGCAGTGATGAATGAATTTTTATATACTATGGTGTAAGGTGCGGAAAACTATTTATAAGGAGCAGTAGACTGAGTTCATTAAAAGTATTCACCAACCAATGTTATTTAAGGATGACTATGGTTTTTCTTAATGATAAATTTAGTTGACTGATTTTATCAAAACAAAGGCTTAAGAGTGATTTTATTGATACAGAACAAAGATGAATGACTTTACTGGATGAATTCTCCAAGTTGAGTAGTGACCTTTTGTGATATCAACTGGACAGTGATGAATGAATTTCCGTATACATAGTAGATGAATTAATGTATTTGAAACAACTATTTATCCTTGTTATGGATGAAGGTTGCTTCAAATTTATGATCTTAATTTCTCATGTGTTTTGTTGAATTCCTTGTTATGTCTCTGTTGAATTATTATTTCAGAGATTTACTATTTGAAATAAATTATAATTTCTTTCCTATGTTGCCGGCCCGCTACACAGATACGACACTAAACATCGTCATTTGGAGACCATCTTAAAAGATTTGTTTAAGCGTGATTGAATCATCTGAATTAAATAAACCTTATGTATCTGGAGCATTAATTGATGGCATAACTAATAGCATTATATTATTACAATTTTAAACAAATGAAAGGGACTATAGATGTGACACCTGATACGAAGAACTTATTAGTTGGTATTGAAATCACAGCATACATTTGTTGCTATTTTTTACAAATTTAAACATGGCTGAATCCATGGAAGAGCAGTTGCTGGAAAATGGAGAGAACAGAAGATGGGTTATAACGGAAACTTATTGTGAAGAACTAAAGAAGTTGAGTTATATAGCAGCACCAATGGTGGCAGTTTCTGTGTTGCAGTATCTATTGCAAGTTGTATCAATGATGATGGTTGGACATCTAGACCAGATATCACTGTCAAGTGTTTCTATTGCTACTTCTATAACCAACGTTACCGGCTTCTCTCTTCTTGTAAGTTCTCTTTGTCATTGTGATTGTTAAATCTTATTAGAGGTGGTAAATAGGTGAGCAACTAAAAAGATTCAGGATTTGAACTCTATGTGGGTGGGTTCAACTTGTACACATAAATCTGTACTCTATGTCGAAAGTACTAGGTTCAGATGAGCCCGGTGCTATAAGGCTATCTGTGTCTCTAGTTCTAATCGGGTTGAATTAATAAATGAATCATGATTGTTAATAGGACAATGAACATTTTTAGTAAATTCTTTATGTAAATGTGAAACAGTCAGGGTTGGTTGGTGGTTTGGAAACTCTGTCCGGGCAAGCATATGGTGCAAATCAATGGCAAAAAGTAGGTACTTATACTTACAGTGCAGTGATATCTCTGATTATTGTGTGCATCCCAATCAGTATCTTGTGGCTCTTCATGGACAAGCTGCTCATTTTAATGGGACAAGACCCTGTAATTTCAGTTGAAGCTTATAAGTTTTCTCTGTGGCTTACCCCTGCACTATTTGGAAGTGCAATTCTTAGGCCCCTACTCAGATATTTGCTGATTCAAAGTTTGATTCTTCCAATGCTCGTAAGCGCCTTTCTGTCTCTATGTCTCCACATATCACTATCCTGGTTTTTCATATTTCAGTTGAGACTAGGAAAATCAGGTGCAGCTATAGCCTTTAGTTTTTCAATATGGACTTTTGTAGCATTACTTGTGGTTTACATCAGTCGATCGAATTCTTGTGAGAGGACTCGAACTCCTCTGAACAGAGATGCCTTCCTTGCTATCGGAAAATTCTTTCGTTATGCAACTCCATCCGCTTTAATGGTTTGGTAAGAAGTCCTGCTTTTGTTATTGAAGAATCTTAAGTAGTTTTTATCACAATTTTGATTCATTTATCTTCATCTGTTTTTGTGCAATGGAAATCATCACAGCCTTAAATGGTGGTCACTTGAGGTGCTCACTTTGCTATCTGGCCTGTTACCAAATCCAAAACTTGAAACATCAGTACTATCAATATGGTATGTATGCACCAATTCACGATAACCTATTTTATGCTCAATTCATCCATTGTGTATAGTACTGATCCTCATAATTTTTGCTGAATCAGCTTAACGATTTCTGCATTGCATTTTGCTCTTCCTTATGGATTGGGAACTGGTGTGAGGTTAGTTCAATATGACTAAAAAATGCGTACTTTTTTTGTCTTCATGACTAAAAAACTCTGGCTTAATTACAGCACGAGGGTGTCTAATGAACTGGGATCTGGTAATCCTCAGAAGGCTCTCGTGGCAGTTAGAGTTGCAATGTTTCTTGCAGTTTCAGAGACAGTAGTGGCGAGCATAGTAATATTCTTATGCCGCGGAGTTTTGGGTAAAGCCTATAGCAATGATGAACACGTGGTGGATTATGTTGCTGCAATTACTCCTTTTCTGTGTCTAACAATCATCACAGATAGCTTACAAGCAGTCATTTGTGGCAAGTCTCCTAACTAGCTATATATATCTTTCGATGATCGTTAAGTAGGCAATTAAACAATATTTAGTTGAAATTTGAAAAAAAGTGTATGTTGGAAATAAACAGGAGTAGCTAGGGGAAGTGGATGGCAGATAATTGGTGCATATGTGAATTTAGGAGCATTCTATCTAGTTGGAATCCCAGTTGCTGCTGTACTGTGTTTCCTTGTAAATCTGAAAGCAAAGGGTCTTTGGATTGGACTATTGGCTGGTTCTGCAATACAAGCAATTAGTCTTTCCCTCATACTAGTTTTCACTGATTGGCAAAAACAGGTCCACTTTGATTTGTTTCTCCTAATACTAGTATTCATTTTTTGTTGTATTGTTTCACTCATTGTGATGGAACTTTTGCAGGCAATAAAGGCTAAGAAGAGGATATCAGATAGGAGATAAATCGGATATTACCCAAAAATAATCTTTAACAACAATTAATTAACGACAATATCAGAATTGCTGCTAAGTATGTTTTCTTTAGAGGATTAGATTATCTTCAGTTGTGGTTGACAACAAGTTTAGGTTCTATTTACTGCTATTGGCTACAGTTTTTTTTAACCCATAGTTTATATTATCTTGAATTCAGAAGATAATTAATGTATGAGGGTGCATCTGGGTACTCCCTCAATCCAACAATATTTCTCCATTATTGGCTTTGTACACTTCTTAAGAGACTACTTCATCAGTCCAACAATAGTTGTCTACTATATTAAAAATAATTGTCCAACAATACTTGTCCAATTTAGAAAATCAAGAGATAATTTACTTTTTGTGTTCATTTTACCCTGCTATTAAATACTTACTATTTACTCATCTAACACATTTCTCAAAGCATTAAATTTAATAAAGTCAAAGGATAATATAGTAATATTACCTCAATTATTTATTGTTTCTTAAGGGACGTGTCAAGTCAATAGTGGATAAGTACGGTTGGACAAAGGGAGTATAATAGAAAGATAATTTTATTATATCATCCTTTGAATGTAATAAATATAATGTCTTGAAAAATGTAATAGAAAAATATGTATAATTAATGATAAAGGTAAATTAGATTTTAAGTGTAAAATTATCTATTAATTTCATAAAGTAGATAAATATTATTGGACATCTCAAAATAATATAGTAGACAACTATTATTGGACGAAGAAAATATATAATTCGAGCGTTTGCATCTGTTTTAAAGGTTGACTACTACTTGGTATGGGCAGAATTTATCTATTTATTTTATCAGTAAATAAAGTGTGTCCCACTAAGTAGTCGATAAGTATGGACAGAGTTTATGACACAACGAAGCATGTATTTCTTAAATCTTAAAAAATATAATATGTGGCAATACAAATGAAGATTTGTTTAACAAACAAGATAAACGAGAAGAGGAAGTTGTTCGGATGATAAACATCCATCAGGAGCATGATAGAAAAAAGGTGGGAGGTTAAAAAAAAAAGACTTGCAGTAGACAAATCCAATTTTAATAGATGAAGCAAAAATCAACACTGTTTGAGTTTGACTGATAAATCCAAAACTTTGGCTAAAGAAACGTGATTGGTGAAAAGCAACATGTTTGGCTCCCGACTAAAATGAAGAACAACATAAATAACGTTATTAAAAAAAAGTAATTACTCTATATATATAATTTCTACTAAATTTCAATAATAACATTCTAATATATATATACACACACTATTACACTTAGTTCGTTTGAAATTTCTTCTTCTTTTTTTCAATTAAAATTATGTCAAAAAAATTATTATTGTTCATGATGGTACGGGTGATGGGGATAGTATGACCTTTAGGCCGTCCAATGTATATATATTATGATACACATTGATGACTTTTTATTATCCCTTGTTTTTACTTACTTGTAACCATATGTAACATTCGAAATTCTGATTTTTAGTCCTGCACTCATTCTGTTAATTCCATTTTAGAAACATAATAGTATAGTATAATATAAGCTCCACAATTAAAGGTTAATTGTCAAGAAAAACAGGGTTCTGGTCAAGGTTCCAAGGTGTAAGAACACAATTCCATTTTTCAAGGAGGTGAGTTACAAATCGATAATCAACCCACTGGGAGTAAACAATGTTTTCTCCATTTTTTATTTTTTTTGACATGCAATTTGGATTATATGATCTTCTCATTAAGAAGAATGCCATAGTATTTAATGTTCCATAAAAATAATTAGTCCAACTTTGGGGTCTGCGTTTGAACGCAAAAACAGGTACAACAAGGACATAAAAAAAAGTTGGTAGTAGCAATGTCTGAAAATCATACAAAATACCGTAATTCATTCTTACACATCACTAATGTTGTAAGATTTGCTCGCTTATATACCCAACATTTATCTTGTGTTTTGATACTTCTTATCCAAATTTGGGGTGTCGTACAGAAAATTCTCTAGTATTACATTCTGTTAACTACTCATTAATTCAGCTAATTAACAAAACTAACACTAGCCGACTCTAATTTTGTATAGCTAAGATAGAGCTAATTAAGTGTATAACTAATTTTAACTAACTGATGACATGGAAATAGTCGACAAAATCTTATTAAAAATGGCTATAAAGATATAGAAAGAGAAAACATTTATTACATGTATCTGACAAACCAAACAAAGCATATTTTTCTAATTGTGCATATTTATTATAAGAGTCTTCGTCTGTTGAAGTGAAAACAAGTAGAACTATAATGGAAGAGGAATTGCCACAAAGCTTAAAATTAGAAAAGAAATGGCAGATAAGTTGGGATGCTTTATCTCAAGAACTAAAGAAAACGAGTCGAATCGTTGCTCCAATGGTAGCAGTCACAGTGTTTCAGTACCTCTTGCAAGTTGTATCGATCATAATGGTTGGACATCTTGGAAAATTAGCCCTGTCTAGTGTAGCCATTGCAACTTCTCTTACTAACGTCACCGGTTTCAGCCTACTTGTAAGTACATTTTAGTTCAGAGACGAATTCAAAATTTAGAATTAATTAGTTGATTTAGAATGAGTGTGATTTTATTATATATGCTTTTAATTTATGCATAATATATGTAACAGTCAGGGCTAGTTGGTGGTTTGGAGACACTATGTGGACAAGCTTATGGAGCTAAGCAATACCACAAACTCAGTACATATACGTATACTGCTATAATCTCTCTGTTTCTTGTATGCTTACCGATATGTGTGTTGTGGTTCTTCATGGACAAATTGCTTATATTGATTGGACAAGATCATGAAATCTCAATTGAAGCGCGGAAGTATGCATTATGGGCAATCCCTGCTTTGTTTGGTGGTGCAATTTCTAAACCATTAGTTAGATACTTGCAGACACAGAGCTTGATTCTTCCTATGCTTCTATCTTCGTTGGCTGTTTTATGCTTACACTTGCCGATAAGTTGGGGTTTCATATTTAAATTGGAGCTAGGAAACATTGGAGCTGCTATAGCCTTCAGTGTATCCACTTGGTTATATGTACTATTTCTTGCATTACATGTCAGTTTTTCTAGCTCTTGTGAGAAGACTCGAACGCCTTTCTCCATGGATGTCTTCTTAGGTATCAAAGAATTCTTCCGTCTAGCTGTCCCTTCTGCTGTCATGGTTTGGTAAATATTCGTCATCCTGATGAATTATTTATTTGTTCGTCATGTCTATGACTTCTTCTTTTTTTCAATTTGGTTACTTTTGTTGTAGCCTCAAATGGTGGTCACTTGAAGTGCTTACTCTGCTATCAGGCCTTTTACCAAATCCAACACTTGAGGCATCAGTGTTGTCAATATGGTACCTATTCATATTGGTGAATCTATGAGAATTTCGATATAAAAATGCTTCTGATACCTCATTTGTTTACGCGCAGCTTAACAATTTCCACTTTACACTTCACTATACCATATGGCTTTGGAGCAGCAGCAAGGTTTGACTCAATCAGTGAAAACTCATACAATAAATCTTCATTTTCTCGTGTGTATTGTCTTATGTTCATTTTTGTTTTGAAGTACTCGTGTTTCGAATGAATTGGGAGCTGGGAATCCTCAACGAGCTCGAATGGCAGTTCAGGTAGTAATGTTTCTTGCAGTAATAGAGACAGTAGTGTTAAGCACAAGTATGTTCGGAAGCAGATATATATTAGGAAGAGCATTCAGCAATGAAAAGCAAGTTGTGGATTATATTGCTTCTATGACTCCTCTTTTATGTCTGTCTATTATCACAGACAGTTTACAAGCCGTCATCTCTGGTTAGTTTCGAGTGTTTGGTAAGTAAGTAAACGTTACATTTTTCTACGAAATTTTTTTGGACTAAGATTATTTTTTGTAACAAAAAATCAGGTATAGCAAGGGGAAGTGGATGGCAACATATAGGGGCATACATAAATTTAGGGGCATTTTATTTGATAGCAATACCTTTAGCAGTGGTGTTAGGATTCACTCTACATATGAAAGCAAAGGGTCTTTGGATTGGAATAGTGGTTGGTTCTACTATACAATCCATCATTCTATCTATTGTTACATGTTTTACAGACTGGGAAAAACAGGTTACTTTCTTTTTAATTTTTTAATTTTTTTCGAGATTTTTATCGTTTGATCTCTTTCTATATAACTAGTAATTGAAATTTTTTGAGAATGAACAATGCAGGCAAAGAAGGCAAGAGAAAGGATACACGAAGGGACAGGTTAATAAGAAGACCAACAACAACAACATTGCATCATATCATGCCTTATCACCTCCTCATTGATGCGTCTATGCATCTCCTATTCACATGTCCAAACCACCTCAGTCTCGCTCCACCATGGAGGTCAAGCCCACCTTATTTCGGATATCTTCATTTCTAATTGCATCTCGCTCCTAATATGACCACACATCCACCTCAACATTTACATCTCCTCAAAGAAATGTTCTTTAAGCTAAAAATATTGTACGTACTAGAATTATACACTTTGTATTGAATCATCTGGTTATAAGAGAATGAACATAATACTTAATAAGGAGATGAAAATATAAAAAAGAATCAAAGTAATAACATTCAATGGTACGAAAATAGTCGATTTGCGCACATATTACTTAAAAATTCATGAATTATAACACACGAAAAAATGAAAAAAATCCATATATCACGATCCGCCCTTCGTTTGAACTTGAAAATATCTACATTTACCCCCTTCAAACTAACGCACAATTTATTAGATCATCACGGAAGTCCACAAAAAATTTATGCCTCGCCCAAAGGCAAACAATATATACTACCATATCTTTCAGTACGTAATGAATTAGGTGGCCTATGACATATTAAATTACAGATCTGTGAGTTTTCTTTCTAACGCCACCAAGTTTGTATAATTTAAAGTTTATAGTAAAGTGTTATGACCGTTTTAACAAAGACTAGCCGAGTCGATTTTTTTTGTCTCACAACTATGAACACTATTTACAACAAACAGACTGGACTCGTAAAACCAACTTCCGAAACATAATTTTTTGGTCTGATTTTTAGGGATCCAATTGCAAGTCTTAAAAATTAAGGAGTGGAATAAGAATAAGTAGTTGTAAATTGGTGAAACTTCAAATGTTCATAATTTCTGCCTCGAATTTCCATTTTAGGTGGGGGGTTTTTTCAAGATCTAAGCATCCCTTCCATTTATTGTTGTCAAGAAACTGAGGTAACCAACAAAAATAATAATTTTCTTTCTTATTTGGTATTGATTGATGTCTTAGGCTGATAGCCATAACGAGTTGTGGGTTTGACACTCAATTAAAACATTAATTGTTTCTTCCCTGTTTGAATTGGTATTGTCATTTTTAACTTTTACTTTTACTTGATTACGAAAATAGTCGGTTTGGGCAGGGAAAAGAGTCGAGTCGATCAGGCTCGACGATCGGGAGAAGCAAAACGAAATCAGGATTTAGCCCCGCTTGCTTGCCCGGAAGGGCCCGGTTTGCGTCTTATGTTTTATTATTTAAGCTCAAATCATAAAATCACTTAGTATCCTTTCTCGTCACCAATTATCATGTTTATGAGGAAAAACATAATTTAAGAAATTTAAATTCAACTTCAAATTAATTTAAAATCATGTCCAAACAGGTTAGGAGACGTGCCATAAAGTATGATTCACTGTTTAAATTAGCAAAAATAGAGTCATCCTTATATAAATACTAGTGGGGAGTTGCCCGTGCTGTGCACCGACCCAATATCTATTTTGTTGTGATGAATTTTAATTTGTGAGTAAACCATGATACACTTGTCTTTGCAAACAGAGGTAATCTGTAACGGCTTAGCCCATTCGATTAGATTATGTTCTTCGTAGGGACGTTTTTGTCCATCACTTGACAGCTTGTCAGCATTTCTAGAAAAACGACCCTGAAGCTGTATACGTCCCTTCTAGTGGTTACATGACCTACACATGAGATGTGACAATCAGAACAGAAAAGGGGCGAAACATTTAAACCAAAAGATGTAATTCTTTAATAGGGATATATAACAGAACAAACCAAATAGCATGACACTTTCAATTTCTTTCAAAACACATAGTGTCGAGTATGAAAGACTTCCAAATTAAACAAATTATATGTTAAACGCTATGACGGAGACAAATTTGGGTGAGCATGGAATTGAAAATACAACAACATATATGAACATGAAGGCAGAGAGGGGGTGGTTTCCGATAGACGTTCGGGGCTCTAGTAAAAGGAGTAAATTGAAATGGTCAATTGGTCTATCCTTCGCCAATCCAAAATCAGAAAGCTTTGCATTGTAATTCTGTAAGAGGACAACAAAAATATTTTTAAAACCTCTACAAGACTAAATTTCAAAATAGTTCCCCATACAACATCAGGCAAAATGTTAGATGATTTGAAGTCCCGGTATATAACTTTAGCTTCTGGTCTATTCGGAGATTCCATGATAGTGGTTGGAAATAAGTATTCCCTGTTCAAGATGTACCAAAGGTTAACGATATTACTGGATGTCCTCAAATCAGATGCTGATTCAAGATTTGAAGTTTTTGGGTTCCTATAACGAACTAATTAAGTTCACAGTAAAATCTTTATAGATATTTATACATGGTTTAGAAAAAAGCAATGGGGTTCCCATGAATCAACATGTCATACTGTGGATTCGCTCCTGCCTCAAATACAAAATTATGGTTTTAGACAAACTATACTTGTGAATTCGATTAACTTCAGGAGATTAAGATGAGATGGATGGCTCAGGTAAGTGATTTTCGCCTGTAATTAAAGTTTACCGAGGAAACAGTTAATCAACTTATAAAGTTGATCAGCTAATTACATTACGACAAAATGATCTATCTTTAACAATTAATAATTTCTCAAGCTAGAATTGCGAGTTTAAATCAGAGATGCAACAGATTAGTTTGCAGCTCTTCAATATAGGATGAACCAATTGTCTATTAAATGACCATTATGTTTTAAATTGATCATTCCATCAATCGACCCCCTAAAACCAAAACAGATAAAAAGATGAACTTGAAACTGAGTTCAATGACAGAAATACCAAAAGAAGTAGAAATTAATATCCAAGTCCCTAACTGAGACTTTTGTAGTTTGAAAACATCCTGGCAGGAGACTATATATATGGAACTCAACAAATGGAAGAAAGTACTTTAAGAAGCTGAAGGTTGACATATAGGGGCAAAGTGTTAAAATGGAGAAACCACTAAGAATTGATCAAAATGTCGTACATGCATAGAAAGATCGACAAAGCAGAGCTAATCGAGGAATTTTTGTGCTCTTGCTGCACCAACAGGATGAGGCTCATTTTGTTGAATTTAGTTAGAGCTCAAATACATAAACAATAGCCACAACTTCCAGTAATCAATTTTAATTTTAATTTATTTATTATTGTGTATCTGAATTACACCTGCTGTCGTTACATTCCTTCTGATCCATTTTCCTTACTTCCCAAAGTTCTCTCAGTTGTCACTTTCTCTGTATTCTTTATAGCTAATAGTGAATTCTTTGTTGTCTGCTGCGCATACATTAACAACGCTTCTTGCATTGTAGGTTGTTCAGCTGAATGGAATGGTAAGACTTTCACATTTTATCACATTCTACATATCTTTAATTTAAAACTCTTATTTACTTTCGTAAACTTCGTGCTCAGTCAAAATTAGACAAACATTAAAACGAATAGATTATTATAATAGGAAGTAAAATCAGAGCACATGATAAGATATTATATACTTCAAAAGCAATACACAGTACTAATCGATGATAAATTTACATTCTCAATAGATAAGGCAACTTTCAGAATTACTTTCAATGTCATTATTGGAACTTTATGCATAATCAAATTTAATGTTATTATTTCCTTAATTTAAAGGAAAATTTGACCAAAAAGAGGAGTAAATTTTAGGCATATGAGAAGGAATGAAGGAGAAACATAATTTTTTCAAACAGCCACAATACCAAAGCAGAGGCAACAACAAGGGCACAAGTAACAAAAATACGAATCATGAACCATCTACCTAGCAATGAGACAATTGTGATCAGTAGAAACATAAAGAAGCGAAATTTGACCCTTGTATTTTTATTATACTAGTCTATGGGAACGTGCGTTGCACGTTTGTTCCTTAACACTATTATAGAACTTTGATATATTTAAAAAATTAAGTTATGAAATAGCAAATTTTAAAATTAACAATATTAATTTTATATTTGTATTTTATTCATTAAATAAATTACATAAAAGTGGGACATGACATTTTTCATGAAACAAAAAATATGTGAAGTCAATTATGACAGTATAGTCTCTAATGGTCTAAATATGTCGATGAATTGTTGAATTAAAAATTAATAAATTCATGTAAATGTCTCTAACGAAATTTTCAAATACATGAACATACGAACAAATACCAAAAACGTAAAATAATAATACTGAAATTTTATCATTGTAACAAAAATAATATGTATATCCATTCACTAAAATTACACGCTAGCTCTAAATTTTATAATCCAAATGGGTTGACAACAAAGTGTTAATTGTATGACAACACAAGAGTCATACACTT